TTGGGTGTTTCACCCACCGAAATCTCCAATATGTCAGCCAGAGAACCATTTGAAGATGCGACTAAGTACGAATATGTGAAAAATCTAATCTTAAGAAGATATAAACTTAACAGTGCAAAGCTGAAACAGTGCTTTTTATCGACATCAAAAGACTCCTGAAATATCTTGGAGATGCTCATGAACTTTATAGTTATTTTTTGGATTACGGATTTAGAAATTAACATGTTTGAAAATCTGAAAGATTTAATAGTTACCGAGCAAATTAAATATAGGGTTCCCATGGAAGTAAAGGATCATTTTCTCGACCAATGGATGAAATTAAAAACTCCATATGAGCTAGCAGAAAAATTAGACGAATATGACAGTATTAAACAGAGCTAAAAATCCTAGAAAACAAGGTTTGAAACTTCAAGAACACAAGAAAGTCATCAAAATGTGAAGAAAATGCAAAGTGGTTATCATAATAGGCATAATCCTAAAAAAATCTGGAAAGATTTTAATTCTAAACCTATAATTAGGACAGAATGTACTAATAAAATTCATGAAAGGGAATTTGAGAAACGGAGACAACCTCGTTATTATGAATGCGGATCCTACTCGCATCTTCGACCTCGGTGTAATAAGCTCAAGAGGAATTTAGAAACTGTAGCATCCAATGAAATTGTACCCTCAAATGAATTTTCTAAAAATAGTTTTAAGGATAATATGGCTTCATATACTGTCAGGACTTGTGTTTCTCTTGATTTGCTTTGGAAACATGGTATGCCCTGAATAAGAACAGGTAGCTTACTCAAGCTATGTTCAAGATTTGTGTATAACAGACGACACAAGCAGGAAGGGTATACGAAATCCTTTATTTTTAATACTTTACAGGCACTTCCGAACTTTGTAATACAGAGACCAACCACTTGTGGTCTGAACGTAAGAATATAAAACTACTATCTAAAACTCTAACTAAAAGCTAACTTTGAATTAGTATACAAATACCTAGCACTAAGACTGGCCTTTATTTAAAAAGGGTACGTATGTAGTACGCCGAGCTGCTGAAACTACAATACGTTTGCAAATATCAAGAGGGCTAAACCTCTGGCCTTAAAGGCAACCAGCAACCGAGTGAAAACTCGTAAAACTGCAGTGGTAAGCGGCTTGCTTCCTAAAACTCCTCTGGCCGGAAGTAGAAAATAAGAAGTGATAGTACAGTTTTAAAATAAAATAAACGTTAGTAAAACTTAGGATCCTTACAATACCAGCCTAGGGAAAGAAATTGCTATAAAATGCCCATACTTAGAGATACCGGTGCAACTTTAGATTTAATTTACCAAAAGTATGCACAGCCCTCCACGTATACGGGCGAGACCGTGTGGATACGAACACCTCTGGAAGAACATCCAGTGTGCTTAATCTTTGGCTGAGGTAGAGTTTGAATGTGATCTTGGTCATACACTAACAAAAGCTGCAGTCTTAAGAGATTCATTAGATCAAGGAAGGTATCTTTAACAAAACCGCTGCATTATTTGAAGAAGCAAAACTAGATGAAGAAGATCAAATTCATATGATAAATGCCATACAAACTCGTGCTCAACAGCGGCGACTAAAAGACACGGAAAAAAAATGAGTTAAATTCTGAAATTGAACTTAACGACAAAGACACATTGACTGAAAATGAAAGTTTGCCTCCTGTGAAATATGAACGTTCAGAATTAGATCTGATAAAAGTCTCTCCAGAAATATTTATACAAGAACAGGAGGAGAGAGTCGAATTGAAGTCGGTTTATAAAGAAGCTAAAATAAAATCTTCTAAAAGTACGAAGTATATGTTGAAAGGCTAAATGCTCTCTTTCAAAAGAGAAGATCGTGATTGAACACAAAGACTATTGATTGTTGTTCCTGAAAAATATCGGTAACAGTTGATGACTATTTCTCATGAAGAAACAGTAGTCTATCTTGGTACAACAAACACTAAAGATGCATTTTTCAAAAATTTTTATTGGCCAAATTTTTACAAAAATGTTAAGAATTTGTTAAAACTTGTGACAAATGTCAAAGAATTGGAAAGCCGCAAGACAAAAACAAAGCACCTTTGAAAATTTTCCCTGTTATCACAGAAATATTTCATATTTAGCACAGAAATATTTACATCTTTTACGAGTGCGCTGACATCGAATTTCCTAGAAAAATTTGGAATTAAAGTTGTACGAAGTTCTGTTTACCACCCGCAAAGCAATCCTGTAGAGAGGATGCATAGAACTTTAATAAGAATTCTTGGAATCCTATATCTAGAATCTGGTTCAGACTGGGATAAAATTACCTCACGCTTTATTTGCTCTTCGAACCACTACTCACGCCCGCAGAATTAGTTCATGGCAGAAGCTTAAGTAGTCCAATCACGCTATTGTATGAAAAATTATCTGGTAAAGAATAGGATGAAAATACAGTAGTGGACTATATTTTTGAACTAATGAATTGAATGAGGAAATGTCAAGAAATAGCTGTCCAGCATATGGAAGAAGCCAAAGAAAGGCAAAATCTCTGGTATGATCTCAAAGCCGTAGAACGTTAATTACAAGAAGAAGACTTAGTTCTACTTGTAGCTCCAACGAAGCCAAACAAACTATCAATTAAATGGGTAGGTCCTGGAAAAAATAATTCAACAATTATCAGAGACAAATTGTGTAGCCGAGTTTCCCGAGAAAAATAAAACTCAGGTGCACCACATTAATTTGTTGAAACCGTATTTTCAGTGAGCAGAAAATATAAACTTGCTATATTTAGAAGACAGGATAAACGGCTATGAAGATAAAATACCGAGTCTAAATTATAGCGCAGATACTGAAATGTCTGAAGTTTTGCAAGGCATCCAGTTGAATTCACTATTATCTGAAGACCAACGAAAAGATTTAAAGCAGTTGATATACAAAGTATTCCTGTATTATCTCTAATGAACCAGGATGCACTGACCTTACCAAACATGATATAAAATTAGAAGCAGAAAGACCAATATGCGCAAAATCTTATCTGATGTCTGCCAGACAAACCGAGATTTTAAAAACGGGAGTAGAAAAGATGGTAAAACTCAAACTAATAGAACCAGGTAAATCCGATTTTACCTCTCCACTCATACTGGTTGAAGTTCCTGGAAAAGAAGCAGCATTGATTACTGTCGCTTGAACAAGGCAACTAGGACACACTATTTTCCCTTGCCAAACACTAAACATTTAGTAGAAAAAGTGTCATCTGCCAGATATATAACTGTTCTAGATCTTAATCGAGGTTACTAGCAGATCCCGCTAACTAAACGAGCACAGCATTACGATGCTTTTGTGACAAGTTTTGGAATATTTAAACCCTTAAGCTTACCTTTCGGGCTAAAAAATGCACCATATGATTTTAGCCGCTTGATGGCAGGATTATTAAGAAACTGTGAAGAATTTGCTGTACCCTATATTGACGATGTTGCAGTATTCGCACAAACCTGGGAAAAACATCTGAAACACTTAGAAGTTATTTTGATTATGAAAATTGCTAAACTGCATATTAAGCTTTCGATATGTCAGTTTGCTTATACGACTGTCAAATATATAGGTCATGTAGTAGGACAAGGTCAAAGCAGACCAGCAGAAATAAAAATACAAGCCATAAAGGACTTCCCTACACCTACGACGAAAACACAAGTCCGATCATTTTTAGGACTTGCTAGGTATTATCGAAGGTATATTTCTGAATTTTCTGCGATTTCTGCACCACTGACAGATTTGTTAAAAGGAAAATTTTGCAAATCAACCATAAATTGGACTGATGACTGCCAAAACGCTTTTGATGAACTCAAGACGGTTAACACAAAATCCAGTCTTATACAGTCCAAACTTTTCTCAACCATTTATCGTTCAGTAGGACGTTTCGAATATTGGTATTGGCGCTGTGTTATCACAGATAAAATGCTAAAGGCGAAGAACATCCAATAATATTTCTTAGCAAAAACTTTTCACCTACTGAACAGAAGTACAGTACAATCGAAAGGGAGTGTGCTGTCATTGCCTTTTCAATATAAAAGTTAAAATTCTACCTAGATGGGACCTCATTAGATCCTAGACTGTTACGATGGACTTTGATCTTACAACCTTTTAACTACGATGTTGCGCATAGAAAGGGGGAAGTATCATCAACATGCTGACAGTTTAAGTAGTTGTATCCAAACATCTCACAACTAAAAATATACATTCTAGGAAGTTTATAACTTTATTGTTTAAATTTTTGTAATATTACATTTTAGATGTTTATTTATAATGCTTCTTTGAAAGCACTTGTATTCATTTGGTCAGATATCTAATTATATTATTTGACACAGATATGTTTTAATATCTTTCTCTTGTAAAAAGAAAATAATTAATGTATTAAAAAAAAAAAAAAAAAAAAAAAAAAAAAAAAAAAAAAAACCTTTCTTCGAAAAGTTCCTTGTGAGGGAAAGAATTTAAGACTGTAACGTATTTGCGTTGCTACGCTACCAACATAATTCCACTAAGAAATAAAAATTACCGCAGACGATGCACGTGCTTAAAAATGCTTTTCAGCTATTCTGTAAGTTTTGACTAATAAAGTTGGTTGTTCGTTCAAAAATGACGAGATTTCTTTAAAATTCATTACACCGTGCTATACAGGTACATCAGTTGGGAAGAAAGGGAATGTCGAATGTCACTTCCAAACCGTTCATTTAGGGATCGAAATGGATTTTCCACTGAATTCTGCCCTAAGAAAAGAAAAGGCAAGGCAGTTAATATCTAAACTTAATGCTGAACAATAAACGTTTTTAAAACTATTAAACAAGAATAAAGTAGCAGCTGAGGCGTCATTCCGAGTTTCAAATATTGTTGCACAGAATAAGGAGCCATACGAAGACGGTGAAATAATCAGCTGCTGATGCATTATTTGATCGTTTCAAAAATAAAACTGAGATAAGGTTTGTTATTAAATCTGTACAGCTTTCTGCAAATACAGTAATGAAAATGACAGAGGTTATAAGTTCTGACGTTACCTCACAACTTACATCTGACTTTTATCGCTGCAGCTCTTTCTCCTTGCAGCTTGACGAATCGACTGATATAGTTGATACAACTCAACTGACCGTTTTTGTAAGAATGGTTTTTGATAATTTCGAAGTAAGAGAGAACCTTATGAAGATTAGACCATTAACAGAACGCATTACAGGACAGGCGATATTTTTAATTGTTAACGATCTTATCAACTCTGAAAATATTCCTATAAATAAAATGGTGGACTTAGCAACTGATGGATCTCCTGCAATTGTAGGCAGAGAGAATGGATTCATAATCATATTTCATAAGGACAACAGCTTTCCAAAAGTTATGTCTTACCATTATGTAATATATCAGGAGCCACTGTTTGGAAAGTTTTTAAGTATAAAAAATTTAATGAAAACAGTCATAAAAATAGCGAACAAAGTTAGAGCACATGCAATTCAGAGACATTTGTTCGGAGTACTGACTGATGAACTGGACTGTCGGTATGGTGATTTAGTGCTACATACGGAATTTCGTTGATTGAGTAGAGGCAGAATTTTATAACGTTTTCAAGAGTTGCTTGCTGCGTTAGTAGAATTTTTGAACGAGGCGAATCGTTCCGGGAACTAGAAGATCCGATTTGGCTGCAGAATTTTGCTTTTCTTCAGACATCACCCATGAACACTTGAACCATTCACTGATATAGAATGAACAACTGTATTCGAATGCAGCCACTTCCTAGCAAATGAATTCCTCGCAAAATGAATAAATTTTTCGATGACAAAAAAAATTCCATCCTTCTCACTAAAGTTAATACGTATGATAAAAAAAATCTGTTATTACTTTTGTTATTTAACACTAATTGTACTTCAGTTTCTTTCTCATGTACAATTCAGTTTCAGTTTTTTTTGTTATATACAGTTTTGTGGTAGCTCAGAAGCTTCATAAGTTTGGCGACCATTGATCTACACTATAAACGGCCGCCGAAAGAGGAATCGATACGACAGAAAGCTAAAATAACCAGCGAACAAAAAAAATACAGATGAACGGCAGCCCAGTATTCCAGTGTGGGCAGGTTCCCACTGGAGTTCAGGCCTATAGTATTTAGGTGTTCTTAGAAAGAATTTTTGTATGGCCCTGACGAGTGGATTTTTACATGTGCCTTGGATTGCCTGGAGGCTAGAGGCTGAGTCTGAATATATACTGGAATAGTTATTTTCCAGTGCGTAGACAAGTGCAGCTTTTAATGCAATTAGTTCAGCCTGAAAAACTGAGTTGTGGTGCTTAAGCTTTCTTTCCCAGGTCTTTAAGATCTGGTTCTCAAGTAGAACACAGTATCCGCTACCGGTGCCACATTCTTCTTTGGAACCATCGGTGTAGATTGCAGTGGCGTTGAATCACGTTGGTGACCTGCAGTTAATCGAGATGTTGAATTCGGCCGGGTGGCAAGGTGGCTCAGGAATGCTTTTCTCATAGTCAGTATAAACATAAGTCCTATCCCATAAAATTATTGTCTCTTTGAATCGGAGCACTCGCACTATTGCACTCTCGCGCTGAACTAAGAAATGCAGAGGCAGTAGTCCTGAAATCACGTTTAGAGCATTTGTGGGCGAGGTTTTATATCCACGGGTAATGCTTAGGAGGAATGGTCTTTGTGCTGAGCGTAGCAGATTCTCCATTTTAGTAGTGATCGTTATGCCCCACATGGAGGCCCCATACAGTGCAATACGTTCAGCAAACTACAGAGTACCACGTCTTAAGCATCCTCGAAGAAACTCCCCTGTTGGTGCTGCTGTTCTGAGCATGGAATGAAATATCCTGTGAAGTCGTGCCTTGACCTCCTTTAAATGTGGCATCCATGTGAATGTGTCGTCAATTATAACTCCAAGGTACCTCAAGTTTCTGACTATTTTAATATTTTTTCCATGAAGGTTGATGCATGGAGTTCTTCGATGGCGCTTACCTGGGCAAATAAGCATACCTTGGGTTTTTGATTTGGCAATAATTAACTTATGGTCATTGGCCCATTTGGCCATCTTGTCCATTGCTTGTTGCGCCCTAGTTTCATATGCGTTACGGCTGTGCCCTTTGGTTACCATCAAAAAGTCATCAGCATAAGCCAGTATTTCCGTGTGAGGATCTGTGTTAAAGAGAGTCAGCGCTGTGTCCGCTACAAGATTCCAGAGCAGTGGACCCAGACAGGATCCTTGAGGACAGCCTCTATTGAGGGAACGTGAGTGCACTCCTGCGTCCGTAGTGGCTTGTAAGTTGCGATCACTTAGGTAGCTGTAAATAAGGTCAAAGAGAATCTTAGGACAACCCATGTCCTGTAATCTCTTCAGTACATCGGGCCACTACAACGAGTCGAAAGCGCCCTGTATGTCCACAGAGATAATAAGACAATGTTGGTTATTTCTTCTGTTATTTGCTATTAATTTTCGTAGGTGCTGCAGCGCGTATTGTTTGCCATTTACCGATCTGCCAGGAATGAAGCCGTATTGTTTGTCATTTATGCTTTGTCCAGACAGGATATAGTGTTTAAGTCTTTGAAGGACGACTCTCTCTAGCACTTTACCCAAGGCAGGAAGAAGGCAAATAGGCCGGTAAGACGTTGATACATTAGGGTCTTTTTTCGCTTTGAGGAAGAGCACCAACTCACCAAGTTTTGTGCCGGCAGAAGAGTTTACAGATTTTTTCCAAAAATCAGCCGGCTTCTAAAATCTGGCTCGTCTCACTTCACTCAGTATCTAACAGGACATGGTCCCTTCATGACTTACCTGCATCGCTTCAGACGACGCGAAAACGAGCATTGCTCATGCGGGAAGGTAGGAGATCCGGACCACTATCTGTTCGCTTGCAGAGAGACCGCCAAATATCATCTTAGGCAACCAGTAGCAAACCACATCCATGCATGGTCCGAAGCTACTTCAAAAAAAATCGCAATGCATTGAAACGCATATGCGATTGTATAAACATTGCACTCAAAATCTCAGACAGGCTGGAGTAATTCTCAGCTACCATCCTCGTCACCAGCACAGCCCCTGTATGCTTCGTACCTGTAGTGAACTAATTTTATCTTAAGTTAGCTTATTCGCTTTTCTTATTCCCTGTATATATTTATCTCCTTGAACTGAAATCTTGATTATGAACCGAATTATTATTTTGCCTTATTTTATGTATTGTTTCCACTGTTTTGCCTTTTTTATTTATGTATATTTCACTTTCTAGTATTTTATTTCTTATTACTTTAGTATTTGTAACCACCTATCCATAACTCTGTAAATATGTAACTGAAATTGTTCTTCTCACCAGCAATGCCCCCTTCTTCCATGATGCACTATCGTCTTCGTCCAGCATTTGTTTGCACTGCCCCCAGCAGTCGTCTTGAGCACAATATGTATTTATAAGTGTGTTATTTTGTTCAAGTTATTTCCGTCAGCGGGGCTACCTGGCCGATATGCTAACTACCCAGTAGACCGGCTGCCTCGCTGTCGGTGGAAAGAAAGAAAGATGAACGGCAGCCAGAGGGTGCAGACCACTTACCGGAAAGAGGCTTCCATGGAAGAGCCCAGCTTCACTTCAATATTAAGGAGGAGAAAGGAAGTCGACGAGAATAAAAGGGAGAGTCCAGAAGCAAAAGAAGCCACCACACGACAAGTTAGTTACCAGACTCAAACAGAAATCAGGATGAGGATCTACCCGTCACATATCCGACTTAGACTGAATTCCTAGAGAAGCCTATAAGTGAAAATTTGCCTTATTTCTTCAAGTGTCAGTTTGTTTTATGTATATATACGAAGGTGCCAGTATGCATTTATTTCTACCTTAAGTGAGGATTTCCAGGTTATAGCGAATAATATTTTCTGTTAATCAGTGGCATAGCTAGGGTGGGGCAAAGGGGAACATCTGTCCCCGGGCGCAGCATCCAGGCGGCACCAAACTGATCCAACGAAATTTTTTAATGATATGTTTTCCATTCTTGTCACACAGAAATTTTAATAAAATATCGGGATTTTTTTAACGTACTGTGATATTTATTTCAGATTCCTGCATCAGTTCACCATTTTCCTTAAAAATGTTCCGCGTCAGATGCATTATAGGTGGAATATTATAGTAATTATTTCACTTCCGGTGAACTCAAATTTATAGCATCTATCGTTGAAATCTTCCAATGTTAATAAGTTATTGATTTCAACGTTTCTTTTTTTGCTCCCTCCTGCTTTATTATATTCTTTTAGAATCAAAGATCATTATACAACTCAGAAATGATTAACTTGTTCGTAGAACCCCACGTTTCTAAGTTTCCTTTTAAGGAAAAACACAAGTTATTGTTAAAATTATGCAATATCGAAAACGCTTCTTATGAAGAAAGTCTAGACAAGGAAAAACTGTAATAAATGGCTTTCCAAATCAGGGTGCGTTGCATTTTCCGTTATCCAATCCCATTTGCCTAAATGGTTTCGATAATTAGTTGGCTTTGTTTTTCATCGTTTTAAAACAATTTAAAGTTAATCATTACACAAACAAGTACTTGGGATCTAAAGACGCTTTGCGAAAAAATGCTACCAATCTTTAGAAGTCAGTGAAACTGACCCGATAATCTTTTGTTGGATATAAGTGCAGGATATTAAAAAGTAAGTTTTATTTTCAATTTAACTTGGAATTTTTATTTTAAGGGTTTTACTGTTAAGTTTGCTAACACTAAAAATAAATTTCAAAGTATAAGGACCATCAATGGTTGAATAATTAAAGCCGCGAAACATTAGTAGCAAGCCTTAATTTTGCCAATGTTGGGCGGACCTGGCTGTATATAGCGTTCTTGATTTTTGTAAAGTGTACTTCAATTTAAGAAACACATTAATAGAAATTTAATTTAAAGTACAGAATCCTTTCCGAAGGCATTCTTAATAATGTGTAATGAGTATTGATATACTTTTTGCCGTAATTATGTAATTCCGTCTAGTTCAAAATATAGTTGGTATTTAAAGATACTGCAATTTTATTAAGCAAGAGGGACAGGCAATATCCAACTTTATTTATTCTTGTATGTAGATACTTAAAATGCCTTTCAGGTATTTATAAAATATTGTTTCATTTTCAGAGATGATAACAAATGAAGTGATCTATTTTTTATAAATGGATCATTCCATTTATTAGAAGTAATGATGGCATGAGCAGACTTTTAGCATGAAAGTCTAGGTTTTTTGGTGACAGAGTTATTTTTTGGAATTAAAAATCTTCTTAATTTGTATCAGCTGCAAGAATATTTTTATTGTAAATATTTTATGGCTCAGTAGTGATTGATTTTTCAGAATATTTTTTTAAATACATAACTAATGCATTTCATATCATACCAGAAAAACACTATATACTTAAAAATAGTATAGATACATATATTCTTCGGGATTTGAACCCTTTTCAAAACTTATGGCAGCCAGCTTCCATACCACCATGCCAACAGGACAAAAATTAAGAAATGAATAAAGCATGGTAGGCCTGCAGATTGCGACAGTATTAACTACGTAATACCGTTTAGTAAA